GTTCCAACACAAGGAAATGTTAAATACCTCCTCCCTCCTCTCATTTATCCTCCCCTCTGCCCTTCTTCCTCCCACACACAGGGGACAAGCAGCAGGGCAGGAACTCCTTTTTTACCAGGCTAAATGCTTTAATTAAGCCCTCGACCACTTGGGAAGAGACAAAGAGGTAGTGCCATCAGCCTCATTAAAGCTCACTGCATCTGCACTCTGCTCTACCATTAGCTGCCATGGGAGCACTGTCGCCAGATAGTTAACTAACCCGGGTTTGTGTCCCTACATAAATTAATACTAGAACAAGGTTAACAACCTGGAGACACTCATGCAACCCTAGGTAGCCCTAGGTATTGTAAAAACGTCCAGTGATGTCCGATTCACTCAGTAGAAAACAGTTTGGATCCTTTGGGTTCCTCTGAGTGGTATACACATCGCACGGTTTCTCACTGAAAAGGTCTTCCATCATGATTTCCATTTGAAAAGGCCAATTCTCAGGTGGCCCTGTCGCGGTTCAATGTACAACGGGGAGTCAGTCAAAAGACAGGTCTGCAGGTAGGAGTCCTGCATGTTGAATGTTGCAAGCAATATTGCAAACTCCCCAATAATTTTAACAAGGGCAATGGTTTCCCAAACCAGTAAGATCTTTGGTCAGGCAAACATCAAATAATTGGAAAAATAAAAAGTTCTTCAATGTGAAACTTTTTGGATACAGTGATGACATGGTTTTAACAAGGACGTGGATATCTTACAAAAATGAATGTCCTTTTAATGAGCAAGTTAACCTAGCTGAAATTCTCCAGTGGTTAAAGTTCTCACTTTGCTGCCATGATGTGGAGGTGTACTCCAGGTGTGCCAGTACAGTGTGACATCACTGTTGGGTGTGATTATGGGGAGTGCCTGAATTGGACCAAAAAAGGTGCCAGTACCCTAATTCACCGTGATGCAACCCTAACAACATTTTTTAATCCAGATTCCACAGGTGGCAATACGCAATTCAAAGTAAGTTAAACTGATGTGGACAAAAATCAGTGCTGGTACTCCGTACCGGTGAGTCCTGGCCCATTTCAGGCAGTGGTTACAGGTGCAACAGAGCATATACCTGATCATGCCCAATTACACCCAGCATTTACGCTAGTTTGATGCTACAGACTACATTGCAATTGTATTTTTTTAACCTCATCCTCTATGATACTTAGTGTAATACTTGAGAATTTTTATTTCAGTCTGATTACCAACACGATTAGCAGTTGCAGTAACACACTACTCATGAAGGCTATTAAGGTACTTTAAAGCCCTAAGCGCCTGATTGTTGCAGTTTGTGTCAAAAACATCATAGTCAAATTGGAAAACACAGACCGGATACACATACTTTTAGATTCAATGACTTATATTTTCCAGGGATATATTATTTCCAATATGCATCACTGAGAAATCATAGAAAAAAAAGACACTAGATCATCATGTGTTTATGTTTTATTCAGTATCAAAGTAATCCGGTGATAGTTGTCTGTACATCCATGGGAACATTGCAAAACGGAACTACTAACAATTGATTCTGCATACTTTAAATGGTGCTAATTTGTCGGAATGTGAAAAAATATAGGCTAACAACAGAGGAGTCAAGTTGTAGCCCACAGCTGACTCACTGACTCCATGGCAACATTATACTTCTAATTTGCAGCCCCCAAATTATTGTTGTCGCAATTCTGTCTGAGATGGGGCCACATTGTCAGAATTTGAAGCCCTGCTCAACTGTGGACACAGTTTTTCTGTTTTGTTTCTGTTCAGGCAACATAGCAATGTGAAATCATAATGTTAATAACAACATAACAAAATCAATTCAAAATTGCAGAAGATACATATCAAGATTCTTATGTGATTTTCTTGGGTGGGGGCTGTCTATTAAATTTCATAATCTAATGGAGATATTGCTCTGGAATTTGCTGAGCACATTCATGGTGGATAAACCGTTTTGCCAGCGAAAACATTACTATTTTATGAATTTCTTCTGTTTTGTTATGTTCTTCTGTTTGTCATTTCATTCTTTTATTTATCAGAATTCTGAACAGTGCAGCATTTTGCATTTCCTTGCTGTATCCTAATTCTTACAGTATGCTATAATGACTCAATTTCCTCACACAGATTTATATCTATATAGATTTATTATATTAAAATCTAATTTCATCTGAATGCATATTATACATTGTTGTGTGTATAACCAGAGAGTGCCTACTACAGTGTGTTTGGCTGCTCCTCTCCTGTCTTCTGCTTTGTTTTCAGAACCCCGGTGAAGGTCATTCAATGATAATGCTTTCTCAGACAGTGTTGTTGTGTTTCTCCCCTCAGGCCTGGCCAGGGCCAAATCAGTCCCCAGCCATACCTACTCCAATGAGGTGGTGACCCTGTGGTACCGGCCTCCAGATGTCCTGCTGGGATCCACAGACTACTCCACCTGCCTGGACATGTGGTGGGTACTCCTAACCCCTGACCCCAAAAGATCCCCCCCAGACACTTTTTGTGTAATTTATCCTTGATTTATTCAGGTATTCCCACTAAAAGGAACTAAAAATAAATCATAAAGTAGACAAAAACACATTAAAACACACCTAACTGTAGCTCATCCTAAACTGAGGGTGTGTTCCCTGGATAAATCTCTGTTGTGTATCTTAGTTTGTTCCTCTCATGTGTCCTGTCTCCTTGGCCACCCTTCACCTTCTGCCTCCCTCCTCCCACTGACAGTGTGGAGCTGGAGAGGCGGAATCACTCACATTCAGCACATTCACATTTCTCACACATACAGATGGAGCTGCTACGGATAAGAATGAAACAACTACCAAAATTTGATTGAACTCTTACTTGCCTTTGAATAGAACATCATACATCATACATCATAACATCATATTATCACTAAGCTAGAGTAATATATTTTTAAGAAAGGCTGAATGCTTTGGAGAAAAAGTGTAATTGTATTTTTTTCTGACCAATATTGCGATTACAATTTACATTTAAAAGTTGTTTTCCCCAAATATATCATTAGCTAGGTTTCTGTAGATAAGAATATCAACATGTAGCAGGATTTTACATTAGTTGCGTATTGCATTACTCAGTATTCATTGTTAAAAAGAATTTTGACATTCAAAAGTAATGTTATATTTACTTACAACCCCTAATGATACCGTTGACTGCTAACAGTCTGTGCTGTTTCTGCTTTTGCATTATTAGCAACATTAGCGATGCAAACTGACAGGACGGGCTGCTTTCATAGCACCAACTCCTTAATGTCATGATTTAGAGGTTTTGAGGTGATCAATATCAAACATACATATACTATATATTATGTGCATAATGCTTTAATTTGGACATTCTAATTACGTTTTACTATCTGCCAGCTCACTTAGAAATGATCAAGCTAACTGCTAACCAGCACTTTCTGTCAGAAAATGACAAGAATCGAAAAGCAAGATTGTTTCTGTAGTGAGACTTTTCACTGTCTACATGTCAGGCAGGCTGTGTTGTTGTAACTAAGGTGTCCGTGAAAAAAAACTCATAAGAAATTTGATAGTAGCTTAGTGAGACACTTTAATGGTGTAACCTTGCAAGAATGATAGGCCGGTTGGAGCTGCTCTATAGTTCATTCTAGAGAACTGGACAACCTTTAGATCGAAATATGAGGTTGATTGTCTTTTTTTGTGTTTGTTTTATTTTCCATCTTTGGTACAATCCGTATAGCTTGTTGATAACATATTGTAGAAATCGGCGGCACTTCGAGACACGTTTGACAACCTTGGGAAGTTTTTGGTTTATCCGTTTCAAGAAAATTACATTGTTGATGACGTTCGAAATTGGCCTCATGTGTAGCATGCATACACAAAATAAGCAAAGATACAGTTGAAAAAAATACCACCAGTAATAAATCATATAATATTTGACTCTGATGAAGAGATGCTGAAACATATAAAGTTGTATCTGATTCATCTTCTGGTCTTTTCCTCAATTAGGAAGATAAGATTTTAACTCAAGTTGATCACAACTGCAGCAAATGCTTGAACAGGAAATGGAAAATGAGTATGCCCCAGAGGTGGAGCAATCTGCTTCCCCTTCTAGACCAGCCATTCTCCACCTAGTCTCCCTTATATATGAAGCTTCCGTCCAGCAATACTGGTGTTGGACTCTCTGTCAAGCCTTGGTGACCCCTTCTGTCTGGACAGGCAGTCTGCAGGGACATCCCATGAACCCCAGCTGCATTCTCCAGCATCCAATTAAAGAGCTGTTGGGGGGTTTTGGAGTGTGGGAGGCAGAGGGACAGTGTGTCTGCTTCAAGGGTATTTGCAGGTGGCCAAATCCACAGGGTGGTGTTCCAGCCCTCTGAGAGTCACCCTGCAACACACACACACACACACAACACAACACACACACACACACACTCACCCCTGGTCACTTAGGAAGCAGTCTTCCATGAAAAAGCATCTCTTGCAGGACCAAAAGGTTGTGCTGATCTGTCTTCCTGCCACAAGAAGCATCCATCACAGCAGCCTACAGGTTACAGGCTGCTCTCTGTGAGGAGGGAGGGTGTGATGGAAGACGGGCGAAGAACTGCTCTATTTTTACCTTCACCCAGCTGCAGCTCTCACACACATCTGTCAATCAGGCTCAACGCTGAGATCACTCAAGTGTGATCATGCAGAGATTAATATACATGTTCAGTTGTGGTAGGCTGCACTGCAAAACAGCTCAAACTTTAATGGCAAGGCTGGTGTTTATATTTTTCTCATTGTCAACAAATGCCATGAAAAGATCGAAGCCAACATTGTGTTGGTCAGTTTGTAATACTTTACCCTGTCTATGGCTCTACACTCCATTGTCCATTGCTCCTACTGTAGATGTAACTCAATTTCAGCAGCAAAATAATCCTCATTTAGTGTTTTAGTGAGTATTTCCGACAGTAGAGCTCTAAGCATCTTAATACAAGAGTATTAAGATATATCAGACTTTGGATACACACAATAGAATCATATTTGTGCCTCATCTGTAAGTGCACATTAAAAACAAAAGCACATACATTATATTTTAAAACTAGCATGTCACTATCTCCAACTTCTCCTAGGGCTCCTCGATGTACCTGTTGACAGATAATCAAAACTGAAAGGACCTACAAGGATGTTGAGAGAGACAGAAAAGACACTGTGAGCAAATGTCCAAGGGTTTGAATGTGCACCAAGTGGGGAAAGAGGTTATAATTTGTGGAGATAATATAATTTATTCTTTGTTTCAAAAAATGATGACACTAAAAATGTAAATGCAAGTTCAATAACCTACTTGGCCAAGGAAAACCTTGAGCAGACCCCGGCTCTAGGTGGGTGGCCCTTTGCCTCGACCGGTTGGGGTTGTAAGTTAAGTTACATTAGTTATGTGACATAAGTCAACTACGTGATGTAAGTATGTTACACAAGTTAACTACACAAGCTGACTATTGGTTTCACAAGGGAAAGTGTTTAGGTAGGCTACGTTATGCACAATAAGTGTGTTACATACTCGACAGAAGTTTAATACATTATGTATGTACCTAAAGAACAATTAAGTTCATTTAAATAAGTCAATATTAACTATTGATTTGACACCAACCCCAGTCTACCGTGTGAAAGTCTTGAACTCTCTATCCACTCACCCCTACATGGACTGTTGCTCTTTATACTTCATTCATTCATCCTTGGCTCCTGTCATTATCGCCCCTGCTGGTACTGCACCTTCGTACACGTGTACTTTTCACATGTATTGTAGGTAAAATGCGACACTGACATGGTATCCCTTAATGCATTGGTTCTTAAACTTTTCCATTAATGTGACCCCTTTGAAAGAAAATAAAATCCAAGCCAAGAAAATAAAATCCTCTAAAGAGGTACAATGCTGCACAGCCTTGTAACTGAAAAACACTTAAATGCTACATTTTAAATGTTTAGAATCAATCAATAAATTAATGGCACACTATGACTAAACTATGCCTAACAATCTTTTATGATCATGCAATAACACTGCGTCTTTTTGGTACATTGCTTTTGTGCATTTGTTGCACACTTTAATGAGAAACATGCTTGTACAGGATCTTAGTAATTCATTCTCGGTGGTACGGAGGCAGCTTCAGTGATCAAAAGGTTTTAGGGTGGTTGACAGTTTATGGCAAGTAACTATTGCATTGAAAAGAAGAATTTTGAAGTAGGTTATTGAACTTGCATTTACATTTTTAGTGCACTCATTATAGTATAATTATTTTAGGAAGCATGCATGACAGACTTTTCTTAAATTAATCTTAAAATCTAAAATAATAAAATAAAATAAAATAATAAAATCGCACATACCCCCTGCAGTACTCCAAAGTATCCCTAGGGGTATGCATAACCCTGTTTGAGAAACATTGCTTAAGTGGATTGGCAGGTCTATTACATGCTTTGGCGTGTAACTGGGCTGGATAAATGGCTCTGCATCCCAGTGGATAGGTTTCCAGTCCTTCTGGCAGCATCATCTTCACATGACTCCAGCTGTGTGAGGAGAAGATAAGAGTTGACACCAGGAGAAGAGTTTTTGCCACTATTTCCATTTGAGATTTCCAATCTGTAGAAGTAACAGAGTTTTATGAACTTGATCTTCCTTACTTACTTTATTTTTTTCATGAATCAGTCTAACCCTTTTAAAACCATCAGTGAGTGAGAGTTAAATGAGAAGTCTTGGAGGATGACTATGAGACATAATCACTTGTTTAGACAGATGTGTTTTGCTGTGTGAATCCCACCAGTGTATTGTGGTAGCAGCAGCTTTCCTCCCAGCCAGGTCTGCTGCCATCACAAGGGTTCATTAACTGTCTGTGAGCAAACAGGCCTGTATTTACTGAGGCTAATTTACTGTGTGCTAAAACTTAAGCAGCACAGCTGGCCCCAGTGACTGACTGATTTACAGAGATCTTATAGCCACAGAACCTCTAACACTATGTAATTACAGTAACAGCAGTGTTAAAACACCATACTGGCTGTGTGCGGTCTGAGCCAGCAACTGCACTGAACAATAGGAATTAGAAAGAGAACAATTATAGCACTAATATATTATTTAAACATACCAGAAGGAGTTTTTAACTGGTTATGTAGCAGTCTCAATGTAATACCGATGCCTACTTCTGATTATGATATATTTATAAACAAACACGACCATCAGCGAAAAGATTGGTGGTTGCTTATTGGTTATGGTTATTCTTAATCCCTGCCACCAGGTTGGAGTTCCTTGTTCCACCTTAAATAGTGATATAATATGAGTAAAACTGACATCAGTCTTTGGATTTTATGAATTCAAATCTTTTATTTATAGCATCACACTCTGGAATTTGAAAAAGGTGTTTGACAGGTTTGTATATTAACAATAGATCATATGACTTGTATGTTAAAAGTGATAAATCTAGAAAGAATAATCACCCTACTCTCCAATTTCAAGTTCTACAATGTATTTTTGCATCTTGCATCTTATTATTTTAGTTTTACGTACCACAACTTTACTCTTTTGGTTTTGTTTTGAACTGAAACAGAGCTAAAAGAGAGTGGATATTACACTTACATTAATCAGGTGGACACAAACACCATGTTTCACCATGTGGATGTGTAAATAAACAACATACTATAACATAACAACTTTTAAAGCTGATCATTTGTACAGTGGTGGTTTTCCACTGGCCCCATGTTGCAGAAAATCAGTTAATAGAGGTTTAAATTAAGGTCACCCACCGACCTCTTGTATAGTCCTCTGTCACTGTCAGGGAGGAACATTATCATAAAATAGCAGACACACAAACCATATGACTGTAACCCTAGAGATGGTATGAGTGTATACTGTTTGGAAGCTGACCTTTGTCCACACACACACACACACACTCACACACACACACACAGAACAGAGCTGTTCTGTACGCTCCAGTAGAAATACTGGATGCTGAGGTTACAGCCATGTCATGGAGATGGATAGATCCCCATGATACAGGATTTCATTCACGGCTGGTTTCTGGAATGTTAAAATGGAGGGAATGTAGAAATTTTGAGGAATGAATTTCTAGTAATCCCTTCCTCCCTTTCTCCCTCCCCCATTGCGTTGCTGGTGTTTCGGCTCAGAGAGGGAGTGTGCACTGGGCCAGAAAGTGAAACTGTCAGACCCTTTGACAAATGAGCGCTGGCAACAGTTTACACACACCCACACGCACACACCTCTTTTGCTCTCCCTCTTTACTGGACCTGATATTTCTCAGTGTAATGGCTCCTCACAGGTTGCACCGATCTACTGATTTACTGATTTCAACCTGCATTCACAGTCTGACAGCCTTTAGAAAGAAAATAAATCGGTGCCTTTTTTAGAATGACTTTTGCTTTGAGGCTTGTTAGGGACATAAACAGTACAAGTTCAAACTGGATTTAGATGTGCACAAATAACCATTCAGTATTACACTTGACTTGTTTTCTGTGATTGTAATGATGATTATTTTTTTGATTAGCAAATCTGGAAATGACGATGATGAAAAATAAAAACAATCCACTGAACTTGCAATTCTGAAGTTGAAACAAGTATTGTTGTTCTCTCTTCAAGGGGAGTGGGCTGCATCTTCATTGAGATGATCCAAGGAGTGGCTGCCTTTCCCGGGATGAAGGACATCCAAGATCAGCTGGAGAGGATATTCCTGGTGAGTCGGCAGTGTCTGTGTGCACCCTACGTGTATTAGTGTATTTTCTGATGGCAACTATCTTAGAAAACCTCCTACCCTGCAGCCTACATCAGTGCAGCTGGATCTGCTTTTCTTTCAGTCCAACAACAGCAGGAACATGGCTGAGCATTGATACAGTAATACCTGAGGTTCAGTACTTATATCTTACTTTCTTTTTTGGTCATTTAATGAACGTTGCCATCAGGAGATCTAAATGTTGATTTTGTTCACTGATGTTCAGAAGTAGTCTTAACAACATATCTGTTTGTGAGCCTGCACTGACAGGTCCGGTCCGACCAAAACACAATCCATCTAGGGTACCTGGCTAGCAAAACCATGCTATGATCTAACTTAAATCAGAAAATATCTTGACCTGGCAAATCATTTAATGCCAACTTCCAATACTCAGCAGTTTTTGGATACTAGATGGATATATTTCCGTCAGTAATCAAGTGTTGGGGGTCAATACCCAGCCCTGAGTACGAAGGAAGAAGGTAAAATGAAAATGTTTTGCCTTTAAAGACTTAATCAATTCCTCCCATGTGTGATAGGGATGCTTGTGAAACTTCTTTTGTATTTCACTTTGAGACACATTGCTGTACATGATTCATTTCACTCATACACATCATGTACTTGCACAAACTTGATATCAGGACTGTACCTAGATCAAGACTTTTCCAAGTTGACTCTCTTTTTTTATGTTATTTAGTAAGGTAGATCTTGTTTTATGTTATCCGTTAAAGGACAAGTGTATGATTTAGTGACATCTATTGGTGAAGTGTATCCAGCTGAAATCGCCAACCAAGCATGTAAGAGAAAGGCCCAATCTAGAGCCAGTGCTCTGAAACATGGTGGTTCAACATGGTGGACTCTGTAGAAAAGGACCTTCTGCCTCTGTAGATGAAATCAGCTCATTTTAAGATAACAAAAACACAACAATTCCTATCTTAAGGTGGTTATACACTAATGAAAACATACCTATGAATATTATATTCAATTTCTGACAATAGATCCTCCTTACACACTGGATCTTTAAAATCCCTTTCTTACCACTTAAACTACAGTTCAGTGAACATGAATGTTTTGCCTGTAAGACTTAGGTTTTAGTACCTTTAATGTCAGCTAACATGATCCCCTTTAATGTGAAAACACAGTCAAAGAAATAAAAAGTATGTGTCCCAATCATAGTTCAGTAATAAAATCCTAACGCATTGCGCAGTGTCTCTCCTGCATGGCTGCCAACAGCACTATCAGCTGAAGTGTTGATCACACTGGACGGCAGGAGAGGAAGTGCCAGCTTCTGATCTGGTTCAGAAGTAATTTAGCATCCATCAACAGAGATGAGAGCCTCGCAGGGGCAAGCAGAAACTTGGATGAAGAAACAGGGAGAACGTCCGCCCTCCTTTTTCATCACCCTTCTCCTTGTTTCCATTACAGTTAGGTTTGCAGTTAGGTCTTTTTGAGACAAGACTCGCTTTGTAAAACTTGATAGTCTGCCATGTTGTTATCTTGTGTTGCTCTGTGTGCAATGACAGCAGCATATAATGCTTCAACTGAAAAAAATTCAATTGGTGGCTGCTTCACTTATTTCTGTGCCTTACTGTAGGTAGGGCTGTGTATTGGCAAGTATCTGCCGATACGATATAGAGGTTACAATTTTTCGATATATTCCAATACTGTAAGCTAATTTTAGGAAAACTGTCATAGTATAAAGAACACACCACCATATACATAAGATCTGAGTTTTAAAAAAGCTGACATTTTTATGCAACCACAACAGTGGGATTTGCATTTTAATTTATCACAGCCCCTGTAACATCCAACATCACAGCCCTCAGTTTACATTTACAACACTGCTATATAGAGGTTGGCGGTTTAAAAACAAAAATCGATACAGTGTTGTTGAGAAGCAATACAATATCATAACATAAGTGTATCAATATTTTCTTACACGCCTAGTGTTAGGTAGGACATTAAATATCTTTCTGTGTGATACAAATACATACACTGACTGTTGTAGCAGCTTTGTAAAGGTTCAAGCGTAGCCTAGTTATAACTAAAATTTTTATTTAGTAGTACAGGTTAGTATAAAATGAATGTGCACAGTAACCTTAACAGTGGAACTCTCTCTTTGGTCATTGATTGGATAATAAGTTAGTTAGTTACTTATAACTTTATGTCCAAACTGGTTATTCCATAAGTGATTGTGGTGCAACCAAGTAGCTGATTTAGTTACAAACTAACTATTATTAGGTAATAATTAATCCACAGGTGTCGACTTTACTACACATTAATGGTGCAACGCTGTGCTGGACCATTATTCTTGGGTTATCGTGGTGCAACCAATTTTAGAAGTTGATTTAGTTACAAGCTGACTAGTAGTTAATAAACCTTTAGTGTTGGGCGGTGGTGGCTGAGGGGTCCACTAACCAGAAGGTTGGTGGTTTGATTCCCGGGGTTCTCCTGCTGAATCTCGAAGTGTCTTTGAGCAAGATACTAAACCCCAAATTGCTCCTGATGCTGTGCATTGAGGTATGAATGTGAGCGAATGGATGAGGTTTTGTTTGTATTGAGCGTTTGTCATCACTGTGTGAATCGGTGAATATGGCATGTAGTGTAAAGCACTTTGAGTGGTTGGAAGACTAGAAAGGCGTTATATAAGTACAGTCTGTTTACTATTTAGTGTCAAGTTTACACCCTAACTTAATAGAGAACTTACTCATAGCTGGTGCAACCCAGTCCCATTACTCTTGGTTTCTGTTGCCACATGCTAATGGCAGGGTCAGAATGTGGGATAAACAGAATGAATCATTGCTTCCATCCCACCTGGTAACAAAGGAACAGGCTTATACTCTAATGATGTGTGTTTTCTATGCACACATTAGGCTCATTAATACCAGTCAAGTCTCATTTCAATGCCACAGCATGCACTAGTGCTGCTGCTGACCAGGTGTATCCGTCTGTGGCCAGAGTCAAACTGGACTGCATCCAGCAGGATATTGCTCCATCTCACAAAGCACATCTCGGGAGTGCTTCCAGGAATGTCAACAGAGTGCTTTTAAATGAGATGAAACACAGGCTTTGCAGCATAAATGTAAAACTGAAAATGTGTGAACTTGTTGTATTGAGTCACTGTCAACATGGACCAGAGTCCATGTGGACCAGAGTCCATGTTGACAGTACAGCAGCCATTAGGTAATTGCATATACTGTATGTACTGTATGTATCTCTGCATTGGCAAGCATAGCATAAATATTTTAAAGTGAAGTCTCATGAATCCTTTAATCGCTTGATCTGCTATCCCCCCCATATGATTTCATCCCCAATCTCTTAATTGAAGCAGAGTGTAGCAGGGCAGACATAATGGATTTATATTCATAGGCTGGAAGGGCTTGAATAATTAATGTAGAGAATTACAGAGATGAGAGTATGAAGGGGTTCGACCAGGGAAGAAGTCAAGTATGGAGACAAAGCATGTTCACTGCTGTTTGGCCTCTGGGCTGAAGGCTACAGAGAATGGATGGATTTCGGATGAGGAGAGATGGAGGATGCCCCGCAGGCAGGGGGTCTCAAGCAAAGTGTGAAAACGTAGAAGGAGGAGAGGGAGATGAAGAAAAATACTTCTTATTGATTGTCTTTTTTGCCAGAAGGGGAAAATGGGGCTTCCTGCACACATCTGTATGAGGCTCTGGCCCTCAGTGATCCCAGCTCCCCTCTCAGTCACAGAGACATACCATGATAGGACGAGAGAGGCCCAACAGTGGGATGGCGGATTGCCCCTGGCCAGACTGACGATGAGGCTCAGCTGCACACTGCCTCCCTACAGAGGCTTTCCATTTTGGTCAGAAATCTTCTTCTTTTTCATCATGGAGGTTGACTGGAGAATTTAATATATGCAAATGATGTCTACATGTCTACAAGTCAGGCTATACAAAGAGCCTGGTAAATCGCTTATGTATTTTTCTTCTTGAAAATCATGCACAGAGATGCACTACTTCTTTTAATAGACTAATAGGTGAGAAGAAGAATTTTCTGTAAAAGTAAAATTAAATGCATCAATACAAGGTCTACCGGTAAATTATATGACCTGTATATACTTCTGAAAAATGTCCTGGCTCTACAGCTATTTTTTCTCTTACTCATTCAATCACAAAAATCGCCCCAAAAAACAACCAGCAATGGACTCTTATCAAAACACTATGCACAATATTTAGGGCTCTATTTGAATTGCCTGAGTGCAGTGACTAGCACAAAGTGGTGCATGAACTGCTGCTTCTGACAAAAATGTAAGAATTATCTGTAATTTATAGATCAATGCTTTGCCAACACCCATGCTTTAACCACGTAAAAATGTTTTTTTGTAATGCTGATTTTAAATGCATTTAAAAATAAAAATGCTAAAAATAAAGACTCACCCGTAGTTCTCCTCTGAAGGGCTGCATATTCATAAAACCATTTCAAGCATATAGCAAGACAATATAAATAAATATATATCAGGAGTTCCTATGAACCAAACTTAAACATAACATTAACTTCACTTTTGATATCTCAGCTATTTTCCCCTGATATTTTTATTCAAATGTACCTTTGTTTTCTACCCAACACTGTAAATATATTCCATTGCCTTTGCTATTTCTCATCCAAATCACATACTGTGTTTTGTGTTAGTGTATATTCAGCTGTCAGTTGGAGGTAAAGAGACAGATGAATATGGAAATGTGGAGGTTTGCGGCTTGGCGAGGCAATGTGTGATCCACAAAACTAGCCCACCTGTCAGATCGAGCCCGATGTTGACATTTCCATCCATCCTGCCTGCTCTGCAGCCCTGTGTGTGTTTGTGTGTGTTTGTGTGTGTTTGTGTCTGTCTGGGCTGTCAGACGGGTCAGAGTTTGGATGCACAGCCTCAGAGACTCATGTGAAGGGCACCATCAATGAATTATGTAGAGTCAGAAGCATCTTAAAGGCCATGTTGTTTGAAG